CTAGCCGACGATGCAAGTATCATCTTCGAAAACACCGGAGATCTTCTCAAAAGTATGAAGAATTTCGCTGGTAGCGTCGGAGAGCAGGAAAAGAAGCATCCATACGGAAAAGGATCGAGTGCTGCAAGAACTTATGGTGGTGGAATGAAGAACTCAGCCAGCGCATTCACTCGTTCCGGAGATCAATTCGACAAGTTGTTCGCTGCTTGCTCAGCTTTCAAAGATCACATCAACTCAGCCATTCTTGCCAAACTTATTAGTTTCAAGGATATCGAATGTAAGGATATCGATCAACATATGACACANCTGACCCTCGGAATCGGTGGAGTCTCAAATTTCGTCTCGTTTTCCTATTTCTTTTGCTTTTTGTAGTGTTTTCTCGTTGAAACTCGGTATTTTTCGCTTTAATTTTCTAAAAACTGGCATAAAAACCTTTAAAAATGCTCGCGCATTTCCGTTTGGTCCGTTTTCCAGTCGAAAATGCGAAAAATAAGTGAAAACTCGTTTCGAAGATAGTTTTGAAGGTTTCGTTAGTTTTTGCTTCGGAAAATAACAAATATAGCCTTTCTGGAGTTTTAACATGGTAAGTTGGTAAGTTCGCACACTTTCTGAAGCAAAAACCATCGAAAGCTTTCAATGTTTTCGTTACGTTCGCGAAAATCGCTTCACCGACACTTCGCAAGTGTGCCGTTTCGCAATGTTGATGTTTCGAAAGTTACTGTAACACAGAAGAAATACCGTTTTTCTCAATTTGTGTCTGGCTTTTCAAAACCTGTCAGTATTTAAAGTTTTTTCGAGCATTCATTGTCGCTGTGGCAAAACGTCACACTTGCGAAACTTCCCACTTTCGAAGTGTCTACTTGAAAAATGTCGCGGCACATTAAAATCAAACGATTTTCCTATTACATGCCAGTTTTTTGTGTTCGAAGTTACGAATTCTTCTATTTTCCTTACGAAACTCATAATATGAAATCAAAGCGAAAAATACTGTTCAATGAGGAGGCTTTCTGAAAAGCGAAAGAAATTGACATCGAGAAACGAAACAAGAAAGAGAACGAGAGGAAAGAAAGTTAATTTTGAATATTTGGAGTTGAATTTTCATGAAGTTTGAAGTTTGCGAAAACATAGAAAATATATCGGGAGTTCTGTTTCATACAGAACTTTTGTTTCTTATGTGTTTTCGCTTGTTCTACTCATGAAAGTTGCACTTTGAATGAATCGGAGTTATTTTTTCAACAACAATACACAATCCACAGAACTATTAGTAGAAAATGCTATTACGCATTGTGAGTGATCAGAATACCCTGTATGAATAGCATTACAACTGCTGAGGAACGGGCCGTTCTTGAGGCGCAATATCTGGCAAACGGACCGTCGCCGGCGCGGAAACTGGCGCGGCGTTTGTTCTTTATTTAGCAGGTGCCGCCCCGGCGTTCGCCCGTTATCCAGCAGTCGCGCCTGGCCTGTGTGCTTGGAAGGCATCCATGCTGACCATTACACCACGAACGCGGCGAAACAGAGACATGTTGTTTGCAATGACTACGGGGAGTTTTAAGAGAGATACTGCATCCAAACGGCACCGTGCCGCGTTGAAAGTGCCTTTGGAACACCACACCCGTGCCCCTAGCAAGCATGTGGCGTGCCGCTACCGTGCCGCTGCCGTGCCCTTTCTTGAACCACCTGCGCATATCGTCTCTATCCATAGAGTTTCGAAAATGTTGCGAAAATAGCTTGTCATTCATTTTCAGAAATTTTTGTACTTTTCACCGTTTTATGGCATTTGGTTTTGTTTTTCTAGGCTTTCAGGTGGAAAATCATGAAATATATTTGTGCCAAAAATTTGCTGAGTAGAATTCGGTGAAAACGTGTCAGACAACTTCCGATGGATTTTCGGGAAGACAATTCGTCCAAAGAAATGTGAGTTTTCATCCAATTAATTATGTAAATAATCTTTAAAGTTCTTTCAGAAACACCCTGCCAAGCCCAACGCCAATAAAGCTGGAGAAGAGGAGTAGGAAAGGTACTTTCATCGAAATTCGACATCTTCGACAAATCTTCTCTACAGATTAAATGATCG